TCATAGTAATTTAATAAAATGTAATAGTATGTAGAATATATCGCAGTATATTAAAACTATTGAAAAAGAGTAAACTGTACAGAATTTTATGTTTCAATTCATTGTCAGTCAAGTCGGGCCAAGAGGGTAGAGTCAGGGTGGATATATGTTGAATAGATTGATTCATTCACTGTTTTCGTTTCATAAATTATTTTCCCGTAGTCACTACAAGCGAAACTTCAAAGTGTAATATGCGCTGATAGCAAACTTGTATATGACAACGCGCTGCGCACGAAATGCAGCGATTATCTATAAGAGTGTAATGTGGAAGGGATGCTTTAGCAACAATTTTAGTTAACTTTTCTTTCTCAAACATGTAATAACATGTCATTTTTATATTTATTTTGCGACTATGCACAACACAAGTGCGGTATAAACGATGCGTCATGCACCGCGACACATATAGTGTGACACTGATAATTCATTTTTAAAAGATGCGATTTCGGAACATAATAAAATCATATATGGTTGAATTCAGCGTAAAAAATGCTACAACTTTTGTCATTACAAAAATTTTGAAATTCGAAAAAATAATAACAAGAGGTGGGGGTAAACTAAAAAAAATTACATTTTTTGAAAATCCAACTACACAGTTATAAAGCCTGTTACAAGCCATACAACTTCTATTTAAAACATTTTTTTGTATCTCCTACGGTTTTGGCGATAGTTACACACAAAGAAAAAACCGTTTTTTTTCAAAGGGGTGTTTCACCCCTTAAATTTGAGATAGGGCCGCTATAAAAAAATACGTGTCTCTAAATTATATGTTTTACAACATATTTCAAGGAGAATCAAATCGGGGGGGAACACTTGTGAACGTTCCCTTGTTAGTTAAAAAAAAGTTAGCTTACCCAATCCTGTTATATATCCATACGTGAAAAGAAAAATATGTTAAATAATTACAAACAAAATCATAATTTTATCTCACTGTTAAATAAAATATATTTTTTTAGGTTTTCGAAACTTTTTTTTTACAATCACGGAATTAATGGGCCGTTTATTAGGTACGTGGGTACCGAGAAATATTGCCAATGCTAGGTTCGAATTACTTTTATGGCAATCTGTAGGAGTTGTTCTGGTAACTGCTTATGGCAGTAGCCTTGCAGTGAGACTTGCAAGTTGGGAATACGAAAACAGGTAAAAAGAATTTTAATTGAATTGTTGCCTGACAGTATCAAGTTTTTTACTTAAAAAATCAAGCTATTAACATTATAAAATGTCGTCTTTTAATTTATTTTTTCTTTTTAATTTGATTTTGCATCAATTAAATATTAAATATTCATTTACCTATTATAATTTTTTTAAACTTATAATTTTACATTATAAATTTAATATTCATTTACCTGCATTTATTCACAAAATTATTTTAATTGTGTACAGAATTGATACAGTACGTCAATTCATCGAGGCTAATTTATCATGGGGCCGAAAAGGAGCGATACCACCTTTCAAAGATTACTTCGATCTGGAGGTCAAATTTATGTTTATATACGGAAAAAAAGAATTTTGCTAGCGCAGAATTTTGTTATCGCTATCATCGTTGCTATTGCATATTAGATGTGATAGCGACAAAACTTTGCTACTATAACTAATTTTTCAAATTATTCGGTATATTAGCCAAATCTATTTTGCTGGTAGAATAGATGAATTTTGCTGAGTACATTTTTTCATAAAAACACATTAATTTGCTGCTACAACAAAATAATTTATTTCTAATAAATGTATTTTGTTAATGCAGCAAAATTGTCAATACAAATTTTGATGTCACAGTAAAAATCAATTTCTTATAATAGCAATATAATTTGCAGATTTAGCAAAATTATTTACAACAAAAATTAGCATCTCTAACAAATCTTTTTGCTATTTATATAATAACTAACATGTTTTGCTATAACAGCGTAAAATTTGCTGTGCCAACAAATTCTCTTTTTTCCGTGTACAAACAAGCGTTCCTTCTCTTATCGTCGCGTATGTTTTTAGAATCCTTATTCAGGTCAATTGCCATCGAAATACATTCCCGTGAATAATGATGAGGACACGCATAGATTCATTAAGAGAAGAAAATATGCAATTATCGGACAGATTATAGGCTCAATCTTTTTTCCTGATAATGATATTCTTAAGGAGGATCTTAAAGTAAGATATTAATTCTTCCGATAACTTTGCTTTTTAATTTAAAATATTGATGTAAACAGCTAATAAAAAACTGTAATTTCTAAGGAATATAGAGTCATGAGAGAACTTGTGGGAAACTATTATACATCCTTCGGCGTCCAGCCGTGGCTTTTGCGACCTGTTAATACGGTAATTATATACCATTTGTAACGCAATCGATTATTATCATCATTTTCATCGGTTGTTATTACGTTTTTATAAAAATTATACTGCTTGAAACTATAATTGCAATCTTCTCTATAAAAGTTTCAAAAAATCATTTAATCGTTTCAAATAAACGCTCAAGTAATTACATTAATTCACATTATTAAAAACTTAAAAAATGAATAAATAATTCTCTTAAAAGAATTCTTGATATAATTAAATACATTTTATAAGATAAATAGCAAATGTATATTATATACAAATTGCATAAAAGTTTATGTAATTATTCCAATATTAATTTCAATAATATTATTTCAATATTAATTTCACACGAAAAAAAGTAGTGTCAAATCAAAGCTTATATACTCAAATTAACGCGTTCATTGTTTCGTATATACGCAACAATTTATAATAATTTATATAATCTTCCAATAAGAATTTAATAATCTTAAATTTTAACAATACTATAGTCTTATATATATATATATATTTCCATTTTATAATGATCACTTAAAGAATACAATATTTAATTTTACTCTAAGAAAATTGTAATCTTTTATTTGAAAAATATGTTATTTTCTATCCAACATTTTTTCTTTTCCATTCAAGAAAATTATTCTTAAATAATAAGAATATTTTTTCTTGGTTGAACTATATAAAATGACTTCATTCAAGCCAGTTTTCTTCGTTTAAAGCAATATAATCTCATTTCAAGATTTTCATGTTAAAAATATAAATATTTTTAAAATAAGAATATCTTTTTTTTCCGTGCAGTAACAATCAGTCAATGCTCTAAATGTTCCTATTAAACAACACAGTAAAAATTTATTTTGCAGATAATATTATGGTTGAAGGAATCCGGCATTGCTCATTTTCATCTCGCCGACGTTATCCGCCGAAGAGCTAGTACCAATCTTCGAGAATTAATGAAGGAGTACGATCATGATGGAAGCGCTAAAACCCTGACATTGACACCGTTAGGTGCCGGTTTTACAGCGCTTATCGTAGGTCTTTTAATATCAACAATAGTATTTTTTTATGAGTTAAAACAAGCCGCTGGTTCGCGATCAATTCGCGAAGTTTTTCGAAAAATTCAAGAAAAACGGAGAGTATGTAAGCTATCACCGTCCAGGAGAAAAAGTTGGAAAGAAAATGAACTTATGAAACATAACTTAAACAAAGAAGATTGCGATCTATTTGTAATTAAATCTACCAGGCGTTCAACAAGTACTGAATTTTCACGAAAATCCGAAAACAAAATTCTTAGTTCAGATTACAATTAAACATATAAATACAAAATATTATTTAGTTATCTTAGAAAATATTAAAACAACATTGCAACTCCTATGTAAGAAAGTAAAGAAAGCAATTAAAAGCAATGTATTAATTCTGTGTTAAATAAAAAGAATATAATCACTTTTAAATATAATTATTGTAATAAATTAATTATTACAATATATTGATCTCATTAAATTAGTTATCAATATATGTATAAACACATATTATATGATCCATAAAACATCAACCATAAATAACAGAAAAATAAATATATAAAAACCACAGTAAGTAATATGATTTATAATATTTGCAATAATTTTAGAACTATCAACAGTCAAAATAATATAGTCAAAATAATAAAACACTAACACACTGTCTAAATGAACAACATTATGATCATCATAATAATGACATCATAATTAAAAAGATAGTATAATCAATGCTTTCATTGATGTGTTGAAAAGACAGTAATCTCTCTTTTTCCTGCCTCTTTTTTTGTACTGTATTTGATCTTTGTACGTTGACTACCACATGTCATACTTTAAAATAAGTATTATGTTATCTAAAAAATGTTTCATAAAGGAGCAGAAATTCTCATTAATCAGAAATGAGAGTTTGACTTTGACTCATTAACTCATTGATTAAAATTACGATAGTTTTCCTTATTCTAAAATATAAATAGAATATTTTCTTTTGTATATCTACACACACAAACACACGCGTGCGCGTAAAGTTGGATACGTGTTCATGCAAAAACCTTCAAAAAGAGTACACGGAAAAAATTTTATATCAAAAATTACTATGTACGGCATTAACCGCGAACCATGAAACCGCGGACCAAAAATTTTTACTATGTTTCACATGTGAAAAACATAGTAAAAATTTTTATAATTCGTAGTCATAGTCCGCGGCTACTGCCGTACATAGTAATTTTTTATATAAAATTTTCTTTGTGTATAAAAAAATTTCCAGAAATTTGGGAAAAATGTCTCGAATTCCAGAAGAAATATGTAAAATAATAGGTATATTATTTCTAAATAAATATTTTTATACTATTTTAAAAAGTAATAAAATAATAAAGTAGACGAGGAATAGAAAAAAGACTGTAAACCAAAAATAATTTAACCGATCCGATTATGGTTCCGGTGTTATAAACTTTATATAATTTCGATTCAGTTACAGTTTCGATTTAATCCGATTTGGTTCAAATTCCTGCTTTTCACAAATGTACTTTGTTTTGTACATTTATATCACGCATGTTTAGATAGTAAATTTGGTGTTTGGACTACGAAGTAAAGTGTAAAATTTTCACTTGTAAAATTTCCCTCTCAACACTTTACATCAAACGAAACCTTGATCGCCGGGCCACGTGCGATCTTACCGGTTTAACACGAAGAAGATTAGTGTTCCTTCGACACAAACATACTTCAACGCATCTCGTCATATTACAGCTTAAACTTTCTACGACATAGCTATCAATATATTATATTATTGAGAAAGTTGTTGAAAAATTTCACGCGTAAAATCTATTATTTTAACAATAACATAATTAACTAGCCGTGGCCATAACCGGAAAGCGAATTATTTACTGATAAGCACTTGTTGGCCATATTGAGTATCTTATCTTTTTAAGTTGTGCATATAATCCATAACCGCGTGTACGAAGATAGCGTGCGGAATCAGAATAAAAAATAAGACAGATTGCATGTAAGATAATATGTAAGTTGGTAGATTGCAAGAAAATAGATATATAAAAAGGAAAGTTGCAAAAAACCAAAGTACATGCAACTCTAAGGGAACTCATTAACAAATAAACACACATTCATATATACATACATATACATATATGTATACATCTCCTTCTCGTGCCAACGACCCATTCTTACGACGTATAAAAGTACTTACGCAGTAATATAATCTGCGAAGTCGCTCACGAGCTCCTAAAGCGAATTGTAGTACTAATATCAGTGTAACTTATTTCTTTTACTAAAATATTTCATTTTTGGAGTATTGTATCATTTTGTATAGCGAAGACGTGTATTGTTTCGTATTAAAGAAAAGTTTTGCTGATTTTATGCGTGAATTTGAATTATTATTGTAATTGTCATTTTCAATATAAACGGGCAAAGTACTAAAATGAGAAGCACAAAACACATCGATGACAGTAAGTCTGCAAAGCCAATTTTATGGCAACAATATATTAACAAAACATTTTTTAATTAACTTATAATTAATAAGAATAAAATTACAAAAAATAAATTTTAGAAAGATATATTAGGTGTAGAAAGAAATTCTTTCTAATTGTAGTAAATAAAAATTTCATTAAAAAGAATTAAATGAGTTAAATCAACGAAATATGCTTCATTATTGTTAATATTTTTCGGACAATTTGCAAATGCCATTGCGAAAGAAATTTAATAACTTTGAGGCAATAAAAATAAAATTAATAAAAAAAAAATTAATTTCTACACCTTATAGAAAAGCCATTAGAAAACCATTAGAATATAATAATTGTATAATTTGATTTAAGCAGAACTTTGTCAATAACTGAAATATAACATCTTCAATAATTTTTAATAATAAAACAACACGTATACGTATAAATTATATAGAGTGAATGACATATTTGCATATCATCGTATTACAGTTCAAACACCGACCATAGATGAACATTTAAAATTACTATTGAAAAACAAAAGTGTAATCGACTTGGAGGCAATCACTGTAACACATGATGATCTTCCAACATGGTATGATGAAAAGTTATTCAAAGAGTAAGTATTTCCACTATATAACATGATAACTCTAATATGTATAAATATCACAATTTACAATGTAAATTGTCAGCAAGATTATTTTACTTTAGATAAAAAATATATTTGTCCAAGAAAAAATCAATTAAAAAAGATGTAATAGTAATAAAGATAATTCAATTAGAGAATTTTTTTATTACAGATATAAGTAACGATGATACCAAAATATATTTATAAAAATGCCTGTATAGTATAGCTTAAACAAAAGATTCGAACATTTTGTATGTCCGAATTATTCGAACAATACGAAACATATAAAATAATACATATAGTCAACAATTCGAACTGTTTGAACGTAAGCAGTAATTGAACTTTGTGACGTCAATTCGCAATCTAAAGATTCGAGTAATACGATCAGTAAACAAAATTGAAGTAAAAATAGTATGCATTCAAAGCAAAATAAGTGGTTCAGTGCGAGAGTTGCCTAAGCGACAATTTCTTCGAAATGAGATATTGATATCCAAAGTTAGACATAATTTTTAAAATCACAACCTATCTGATAGAAATAATTTCTAATCTATCTGTTGTGGGAGGTTATCTAGCCCATGTAAATATGTTATTTAAAAATTATACTTAATCTAGAAATGAGTTAAATAGAAACAAACTTATAAGCAAGTTTGGCTCTAAAAAAATTAGATTTCAAGTTATAAAGTGTGAAGTAGGCAATGTTTAAACAAGTTAACATTAAGGTAAAAAATAATATTCCAAACATTATTGTTATTATTATTTATTAAACTTACAAAAAAACCATGTTAAATACGCATATAATTAAAATTAAGTTAATTAAAATTAATTTAATGAAAATTACACATATATAATAATTATTAAAATTAAAATATTTTTAATCACTGTTCTCATCTGTTACATCCATCATCTCTGGATTATTCTGTTTTTCACCTTCCACTTTAAGGCTTGGATAAAAGTTGTGAAATATCGATGGAATGTATTTCAATAAAGACATTAAGTCTTACTATTGCAATATATTTGCAATTATCGTTGAAAATTAATTTAAATATTTATTACAAAATTTTGCCTAACTGTCTGTATTTCTTACAGATTTTGAAAAATTCTAAGAGACAAACTTGCCTAACCCACACATAATTTTTATTATACGCGAAAAAACTATTAAAACAAAACATTTATTGATAAAATTATAAATATTACAAAATAACATACCTGAAGAATCCAAATTATCATAATTAGGTTAATAATCTTTGTCAACATCTTTGCAATCTTCAAGAATACAACGAACGGTCTCAAAATCTGACTGTTTATTTGCCATGTTTATTAAACAAATTTTGTTGCGTAGGCAACTACAGCTCACAATACTTACCTGTTACACCTAATTGCCTAACTTTTAATTAGATAGCAACACTAAAAACGACTATTATAAGGGATAAATTAATTTGGCACACATAGAAATGATCATTTGCAACAATACTGTACAAAAATTAGCAATTAAAAAATTTTGTCGCTTAAGCAACTCTGGCACTGAACCACTCAAATATGAACAGTTTTTTATTTTGATTGTAACTTTATGCAGATGTCAACATCTCATTGTTAATATCGACGTTTTTTATGCACATCTCATTGTCTATATCAACGTTTTTTATGCATATCTCATTGTCAATATCAACGTTTTTTTATTATTTGATACAATTAATTTATTAGATATTTTAAAAGAATTAATTACAAATATGACAAAGAGGATCTAGAGCCACCGCCAGATGTATTTGCATTAACAATCTTCTTATTCAACACATAAATTCAGATGTTTCGGTCATCATCTGACCATCTTCAGTGTAACTAATGAATAAATTATTGTCCAATAAACAAGAAATGATTCAGATGAGATCAAAACTGTGAAATAACTATGATGACACGTGAGTAGCCTGCTGTCTGCCCAACATTTAACTTATTCTAATTTCCATAATATCTTACACGATGAACTCACGATATCACAGTTTTGACTTCATCGTTTTTAATTATTGAACAATAACTTTATGATTAATCACACTAAAGATGGTCAGATGGTGACCGAAACATCTGAATTTATGTATTGAATAAAAAGATATTATATATATATTAATATTAAAAAAAATATTTCTCGTTTATATATTGATATCCTATATATTATATAAATTTTTGCAAGAGAATAATAGTTATTATTAATATACGTTACACAATACATTTCAGTATCATTTATTTATATTAGATTTATAAACATTGCAAATATTTATTTGCAGAGCTCAAAATTACTATAGACGAAACATGTTAGCAATGGTAACATCTAGTTTTATGGGACTTTTCGCAATATTATCCATTCCAGAAACAATAAGGGTATTGAAATTTTATGTTTTTATTTACAATATATATTAAAATAACCAGAAATAATCTATATGCGACAACAAACCCAAGAAGCAAAATGTTAGCAACGTTATCAGATTGATAGTAAATTTCATCAAATTTACTGTTAATCTGCCGTTACTAACATAAGATTTGATTATTTAGGGAAGATTTTTCACTTCTATGTTTTAATAATAGCATAGTAATTTTAACATTAGAATAAAAATATATTATATAAATTACATTTTTAATAATATACTTGTTATAAAACAGAAATAATGAGATATTATTTTATCGAGTAATGTACAATTAAAAAGGAGTTTTTTTCTCAATAGGTGCTAATATATACAAACAAAAGTAGTATGCCTTGTGTGGCATACAGCAGATATGTCCAGACTTTATTACATATGCACAACTTGTATACGTGTGATCCAAGTAATCCAGATTCCAAGTAAGTTTCTTTAAAATTGTCATCTTTTATATGTATTTATGTTACTAAGTATCGTTATCTATGTAATAATTATTTTCAACTTTTATCACAATAATTTATTGTAATACTCTCTCAATTTAATATTATTGTATAATAAAAAAAAACCATCATAATTTTTATTTTTGATTTATTTTAATATTATAAATATTTTCAAATATTCATTTTTTATTTTTTCGATAAAATTAAATAAATACAAAGATTTAAATTTTGATTGAAAGAAAATTGCAAAAAAATATATGATGAAATAAAGTAAAAAGATTATTGAATGGAAGATTATAAATAAAATAAAACTTTGATATTTACGTCAATTTCTAAACTCTACTTCATTTTGCTAGCTGGTACAAGACCATAAATGTGATTCATCGAAAACACAAGATGGGCAGCAAGAATTCTAAAAATGCTAATGTGGGTGATATTCACCAAAGAGATATGGCACTCACGCAGTTCGCTTTCGTAGGATACGTTTTCATCGCAGCTAAATCTATCGGATTGCATAATAAACCGGAAGAAGAAGAAGCATTTAATCATTTTTGGCGTGTAATAGGCTATATGTTAGGAATTCCTGATCGGTATGACATATATTAATAATAATATTACATATTATACATATTATAATAATATGTAAAAGACAAATTTTTAACTAAAGGATCATTTATAATATTTTTCATATACTTTCTGATATAATTATGTATAAAGCTGATGTGCAAATAATTTTATTGCATTTCATCAGTTATTTCATCGTAATAGATTAAACATATGTCGCAAAAACGCGAAAGAAACACGTGAACTGTGTCTGAAGATAAGCAGCGATGTTTTAGCAAAATATTTGACTGAAGCTCCTCCCGCTTTCTATCACATGGTGTCAGTTATAATGCATGGATTATGGCACGTTGACGTTACATTAAATACCGATGCCCTTTTGGCATTTGTTTATCAACTACATGGTATTGAGTGTAAGTATATTTGATATTTCATACTTTGATTATTTTTTATTCAATATATTTAATAAACTACTTTTAATTTACGTAAATCAACATAAAAATGTTTCGCATTTGCAAATAATAGAATAAATATAATTTGTTTAATTAAATATTGTTCACGCGTTTTAGATAAGACATCGCTTGGATGGTACAGTTGGTTAAATCTAAAATATCGTAATTTGATATTTTATCTGTGTCGTAAGTATTGTGATTCATGCTATATTTCATCGTTAATAATACATTGACTAATTTCTCCGTTTTTTAGTTGTGCCTTATATTGGAGCTGTAGTAAGAATTTATTATAATTACATACTTATGTTCACATTCTGGCTTGTACAAAACTGGCCTGTGCACGCGTGGATATCATTTGGGAAAGAAAATTCCCAGATCAAGATGTATTCTATTTTAAAATAAGTCCACGTGTCTTAATATTCACATACTTTCCGTATTTATACATTTTACATAAAAATATTTGTATAATTTGATATAATAATATTTTATATAATGTCATTCATCTAATTTAATTATATAAGGTTAAGAGAGAATATAAGGTTGTCTCTCTCTTAATATTTAATTACTAATACAAAGAACGAATAATTAAGAATGTCAGATCATCAAAAAAAGTCACATATTATGTGATGTCACTATGTCATATAATATTATACAAGGTGAGAGATGTTTTTTATATATCTTAAAAATTATGACAGTAGAAGAGTAGCAGAAAAATTGTCCGATAAAAGCGATCATATAGCGGAAACATGAATGTAAGATAACGAAATTTCGAGATCGTTTCGAAGATGTAAAAGTTATCTTCGTTTTTATTTTTTTCATTTCACGCCACATTCAATTCTCGAATTAGTTATACCGGGGAGTCACAAAAATAAGATCTATCACTATACAAGATATTGTGCAAGTAATCTTAGTATTAATTTCTGACAATCATTGTTAATTTGAATGCGGACAACCTTGTACTCCTTGTACTTGTACTAAAAATGATTTAATATAAAACTGAAACGTTTACTATTGCAAGATTAAATAAAATATAAATGAATTTAAACATAAACTCGGTTACACGGCTCTCATTTCATTGCAATATGCTGCAAACATACGCAATATATTGTATACAATATATATATATATAT